GTAGGGAAGAAAAACTTATATTTTTACAAGAACTTCAGTCTGAGCCAAATTACCTGGAGGTCTCATGCTGCCAATACAAAAATTCCAAAAACTACTACAGAGGACAATCTTCTAACTCTACAAGCATTACATTCAAGACATGGCAATCTAAACTAGATCCCATTATAGCAGATAAAGAAGAAATTATCATGTAAGTAAAAATTAGCATCTGCTTATACACAGCAGTGTGCAACTCAGATACCTTTGTTTTTTATAAACAAAAGCAAATACAAACCAGCAGCAGACATGGCTGTTACTTCAAAAGGATGAATTTTACACAGCTCAAAGCAAAGATGAGCCAGAGTATTTTGGGATGGGCGGGGGGAATAAAAAAAAAAAAAAGTGAATGATTGCACTCTATTTAAGGTTATTTTACTAGGTACACCCCAAAAATGTAGTCCCATAATCTAAAAAGAATGCCAGAGTAGTTAAAAAAGCAACCTCATTTAGAAATTGAAATTGAAAACAGCTATAAGATTTGAATGATTGAAAGAAAGGAACATTCACAGTATTTACTGAACATGAAAACATTAGGAATTTGAAAACACTGAAATAATAAGATAAAGGACAAGGGGGTACATGGCCAACAAAATAAAGGATATTATGAGTTATTTAAAGACTATTAGGAACAAAAAGCATTCTAACAATGTATCGTTAATTAATAGATAGAAATGGTAGAATTGCCAATCTTAATGCAGAAATGTTAAAAATATTTAGTGTATTCAGGTCTGAACTTATGAAATAGGCTACTGATGATATTGTTGGAGTGAAGAGTTTCATCAGCTGAGAAGTAGGTCACACAGCACCTACTGAACACACACATTTTTAAATCAGTAACTCCAGATAACTTGCAGTGAAGAGTTGTAAAAGAGCTGGCTGAAGAACATCTTGGATACTTAGTGTTATTTTTCAGTAACTCCTAGAACTCTGAGGAAGCCCGAAAACACTGAGCAGTCTCCATCCCCAGTGCATGCACACACACTGAAAAAATACTATTGTTCCAGTGTTTGAAAAGGATGAGTAGTTCATTGTAAGCCTGACAGCTTGACATTGATCTGCATTAAAATAATGGAATAGCTAATGTGGAACTTGATTCAGAGTAAAATCAAAGAAAGAGAATTAATATAAATCAATTTGGTGTTATGGAAAAATAGATCCTGGAAAACTAAATAAATATCTCTTTTAATTGATTATGAGGCTGGTTCATAAAGCTCATGCTGTTCATACAATGGAGCATTCAGTAAGGCAGCAGTCTTCATATTTATTTTGATTAAGAAAACAGACTACAGAACCAACATTATATGGATTAACACTGGCTAGAGAGGTCTTCAGAATAAATTGTAAACGGGGAACATCAAGTGGCTTGCTTTCTAAGAATTTGCCCTGCTCCTCTACTACTTAACATTTTTATGAACAATCCAAAAGAAAATACAGAATAATCACTTACAAAGTTTGTAGGTTACTCCAGTTTTGAGAGAATGGCAAATAAAAATGGAGCAGCTGCTGATATAAGGAGACATGAATCTTTTTGCAAGCTGGATAACAGCAAATCATACGTATTTTAAAATAGCCAGAACTAAGCTTATACATTTAGAAACAAAGAATGAAGGCTGTACGTGCAGGATGTGGGACACCTGTGTTACTGAGAGTCTTAAACAGCTTATGATCATGGTAGATGATAACTAACTGAACACAAATGCTGGCAGAATATTTTGGTCACAGACTAATGCTATCTTTGGTCATAAAAAAAGATAGATTAAAAAAAAAGATAAAAGATAAAAAAAAAAGGTAGATTCAAATAAGAATTAGGTGGGTTATAGTTCGTCTACCCTGACCCTGGTGTGTTTCCTATTAGAAGACTTTGTACCACCATGGAGCCTCCACAAGGATGCTGATAAATAGCAGAGGTTTTAGGGAAGCAAGAAGAGACTTATGAAAAGATTAGAAAACATGTAAAGAGCCTGAAGGAGTTTCACCTCCTTATCATTTACAAAAGGACATGCTAAGAGGTTAAGGAAAAGGTTAAGTCATGATCTGCATGAATATACGTGGAACAATACAGTGGCAATCAGAACTTCAACCCATCAAAGTAAAATGCAGCAACATCCTATTCTCAACATTAAAACTCAACATATTCAATCTAGAAATGAAGTTCACATTTAAAAAGCTACATTCTAACCTTAAAATTGGCTGATTTTCTGAAATGTATCTTTAGTTCAAACAATAATTAATTCATAGAAATCTTATGATCTATAGAGAACAATATTCCGTTCTGACCACTGTGAATCAGTTGAATGATCTCCTAATAAAAGGAAAATGAAATTTCTTCTTTTATTCATAAGCTACTTACTTCGGCATGTTTTCCCATCTTGCCTTAGTACAAATCCATCATGGCATTGGCAAGTGTATGAATCGTCATTATTAACACAAAGATGTTCACAGCCATGACTGACTGATTTGCAGAAGTCCTTATCTAGGAATAATTTAGATTTTATTTAATACAGTTTGATGAATGAGAACATTTCCAAAACTTTAAAGACTAAAAGTAATAAGCTCCTAGTAAAGAAATAATTTACCCTCCTTTTTGTCAGGCAAAATCCCCTATAAGAAGACCTACCTCTAACACAATATATTTCTTCAGTAGACCTCTAAGTGAAAAAAATACAGTAACATAAAATAACTTACTTCTACACGTTTTCTTATCTTCCCTCAATACAAAACCCTCATAGCACTGGCAAATGTATGAACTATCGGTATTCACGCAAACATGCTCACAGCCATGGTCAACAGAATTGCAAACATCTTTATCTGGGGAAAAAAAAAAAGGTTGCTGGTATTTAAAACACTTCTACGAATGCATAGATTTAAAGGAGATCTTCTATTAAAGATAAGGATACTTACTTCTACATGTTTTTCCATCTTCCTTTAGGGCAAATCCCTCATAACACTGGCAGAGGTATGACTCATCAGCATTAACACAAACATGTTCACAGCCATGGTCAACTGAACTGCAAATGTCTTTATCTGAGAATGGTTGATGATATTTGGTTAAAGGACATCTACAGTGAATGTATCATGCAGTGAGAAGTAATAGCTTTTATTAGGTCTACTGATATCACTGGAAGAAATGGGCAAAAATTTAGGCAACAAACACTTTTAACTCTTGGTACCTGAAAAATTGTGTCTCTTTTTTGCCTCCAGTCATATCAGTTCGGATACTAAAATACACTATTTCCATCCAGAGAGTCTCTTACAAGCTTCTGGCAAGTATAACAATACTACTCCTGTATTATAACAATAAACTGTTGTTGTTGTATTTGTTAGAACACTTCCACAAATCTACACACTGTAGATAAAAGTAATTATCAGAGTACTTACTTCTGCATGTTTTCCCATCTTCTCTTAACAGAAAACCCTCATGACACTTGCAAACATACGAGTCATCTTTGTTAACACAAATATGCTCACAGCCATGGCTGACTGATTTGCAGATGTCCCTTCCTGGGAATGATTGATATAAATATAGATTTTGAATGAAAACATGTTAAAAAAACGTAGATATCAAAAGAAAGTTTTCTTTCCAGTAAGAAGCGAAAATCTCTTTTTTTTTCTTGCCTGATGCACATGCAAAAATGTTCAATAGATACCGGTCACTCACTTCTGCACGTCTTGCCATCTTCTCTCAATACGAATCCCTCACGACACTTGCAGATGTAGGAATTGTCAGCACTAACACAAACATGCTCACATCCATGGTTGACTGATTTGCAGACATTTTTACCTGGGAATAATTTAATAGATAAAAAATTGTGTTAGTTAAGGGCAAGATGTTCGAAGTCTTACAATTCCCAGCTACTGAATGTTCTTCTCCTTGCTAGTATACTGGACTCAATCCTGCAAATCATTTATAGCACCTGCTGTCTCTTTTTGTTGTAACAAAAGGTAGCATCTCCTGCTAATTTTATAACCTTACTATTAAGGAAAAGTGCACTGTTCCAGTTCTAGAGTTTGTAGAATTTCATGTGTCCCTAGCATGCAGATTAGTGACGCACAGGGATTTCCAAAGGCACCTAAATCCCACATCCACATTTCAAGTAAACTTCCTGGTGAGAAACAGATCTTTCTATCATCTTTTTATCTTCAGTAATGAACGTGCTCAAACCTGAAATAGTTATGCTTTTTTTTCTCTGTGCTTAAGTTCAGAAGGTGTTTGTCATTTTTCTGTAAAGTAGGATTACAAAAGTTCAGTGTATGTAGTATTTAAGGGTAGCGAGAAAGACAAATTATATGATCTTGCTGTGAAATTCTGGAAAATTGTCAGCTATAATTGGGCAAACTGATGTTCAGTGGGGTTTTCTGATACAAAATTTAGATACAATTCATATTTCAAAATAAAATAAAGTAAAATCTGTTAATTAACATTAGATAAACTAACATCTTGCTTTCACTTTCTTCCCCACACCCTTTATTTTCCTGCAAGGACTTAGAATAAAACAGAAGACTATTTCATTTGGAAGGGACCTGCAACGATCATCTAGTCCAACTGCCTGACCACTTCAGGGCTGACCAAAAGTTAAAGCATGTTGTAAGGGCATTGTCCAAATGCCTCTTAAACACTGACAGGCTTGGGGCATCGGGCATCAACCACCGGTCTAGGAAGCCTGTTCCAGTGTTTGACCACCCTCTCGGTAAAGAAATGCTTCCTAATGTCCAGTCTAAACCTCCCCTGGCGCAGCTTTGAACCATTCCCACGCATCCTGTCACTGGCTACCAGGGAGAAGAGATCAGCACCTCCCTCTCCACTTCCCCTCCTCAGGAAGCTGTAGAGAGCAATAACATCACCCCTCAGCCTCCTTTTCTCTAAGCTGGACAAACCCAAAGACCTTAGCTGCTCCTCATAGAACATTCCTTCCAGCCCTTTCACAAGCTTTGTTGCCCTCCTCTGGACACATTCAAGGACCTTCACACCCTTCTTAAATTGTGGGGCCCAGAACTGCACGCAGTGCTCGAGGTGAGGCCACACCAACGCTGTGTAGGGCGGGATAATCACCTCTCTTGACCGGCTGGCTGTGCTGTGTTTGATGCACCCCAGGGTGCGGTTTGCCCTCCTGGCTGCCAGGGCACGCTGCTGACTCATACCGAGCCTGCTGCCGACCAGCACCCCCAGGTCCCTTTCTGCAGGGCTGCTCTCCAGCCACTCCTCTCCCAATTTATACTTGTGCGTGGCTTTACTCTGTCCTAGGTGCAGAATCCAGCATTTCGACTTGTTAAATTTCATCCCATTGATCATAGCCCGATGCTCCAATCTATCTAGATCCCTCTGGACTTCTGCATGGACAGTACATTTCACTTGCTTTTAGAATGTCAGTACTTTCAGTACTTTTTGAGACAAGCAGAATTTGTCTCTGTTTGCATGGAATAATAAAGTAGGGTGGTGTTGTGATACACAAACTGAGAATAAAGAGCTTTTCATTTGTCATGGTAGTATCTGGATGACTTTAATTTTTTTTCTGTAAATGTTTTTTAACAGCAGATATTGATGAGATCTATGGATATTATTCGGATTACAGTTACAAAATACTTAATGCCTGTGTGTTTTTCAGAGACTTATCCATGATTCTTCTTTGATCACTTAGTGATCAAATCTATAGAAGTGGATAAAAATTTGTAATGAATTTTTTCTTGATATCTGGCACTCATCATAACTGCATAATGTAGTCAAATGTGTAATGCAATTATGATATCTCTTTTGCAATCATCCTTATCCCATGCTGGACAAAATGAACTTTCCATTAATTGCAAGCTTCATGCTGTATAAGACTTTAATATAAGACTTTATAAGACTTTAATAAGGCTTTATAAGACTGTATAAAACTTTAGAAACATTATAGATTTTTGCCTTGATTTGAGAAGAAGATGACATTTGTCCCATATAAGGATGTAAGTCAAAATAAAGTAGTTTTGGAACCACAACAGTCCAATTTCAGGGCTACTTTTTAAATGGCACAGACATTTAGGGTGTGATTCAGGTGCCTAAAAGTATGCATCCAGTACCACTTTAGATGCCTTAGCATATCCAAGATATTGACATTGCTGGCAAATGACACCAAAGGGGAAACTATGAACTTTTGGAATCCTTGAGCATTTAAAATGACACTGGACAGCATCGTTTAGGCAATCAGATCCTTCCTTACAGATTTCATCTATATGTGTAACAAAAATCTAACTCTGAGTTGCTGAATAACTTACGTTTACATGTTTTCCCGTCGTTACGAAGCTTGTATCCTTCAAAACACTGACAAGTATAAGATCTGTCGCCATTTACACACAAATGTTCACAGCCATGATCACTCAGAGCACAATAGTCAACTCCTGTAGGAGTAATTGAAGTTATTAAAAAAATTTAACAAATAATCCATCAATTATTTTTCATCTCTAGTACCTGCATGGCATATAAGCAAGTAAATATAAATACACTGAACTGCTTAAATAATAATCCAGTTCCTTATCTGAGAATATAAATAAGAGGGTCTTGTGGTGTACTTTCCATTGGTTGTTTTAAGCAGAGCTGAGAAATCATACTTTCCTATGCTTAACATAGCTCAACAGAGTCCACGTCTCAGTACTTACAAACTGAATTTAAAAAAACCAAAACAAAACACTTTAGCAATGATTTTATATAAGACAGTGGCAAAGACATAAAAGCTACCTCTTCTTTAAATACAGTCTCTAAATGGCCCGATGTGAAGGTGGCGGGTCCCCAGAACTCACTTGTGTGCCTGACCCAGCTGCTGTGGCAGCAAGCAGAAAACCTCCCAGGGACCACAGTGGGCTTTGACTTAGACTATTCAAACTTTTGCAAAGAATTGCAAATGACAAGTACTGTCAAATACGGTCCATTTTTCATCTCAAATTTCCTAAGTGTTTCTTCTCTGTAATACAAAGACATAGGACCCCTGGGATCCTGCAGGCAGCTTTTGCTACTGTCTATTGGCTACACACACAGTGTCACTCATTTTTTTTGTAATTAGTTGTCACAGTAGAAATCTGTTGACCATTCAGGTGTTCCCACAGCTGTCTTAAGATACTTGTGCCTGAGTATATGACACCAGAATTGTAATTCCCAGATGCGTTCCCATTAGGAGTGGTGCATGTTAAATGCTAATCCCTTCCATTCAATTGCTCATTCAGGAAATCCCAAAGTGCCAAAACTCTTTTCATGATGATAGCCTAAAAATGTCCACGAGGTTTCAACAACTTATCTGGACCTCTGGAATAGGACAAATCTCTTTCCTAAATATATATGAGGAGAGGGGTATGCTAGCAAGAAGAGGAGCTGTTCAAAAGGTCTCAGTTTCATTGCACAGAAGGATTCCAGAAGCCACAGCACTGTTTCAATGCTGCTGATAGTTCTGCAAGTACGGCCTGGAGGAAAATAACTCAAGTAAAAAAAACACCTCTTTTTATTACAAAGGAAAAGGGATTTGCCATCTGCAAGTTGATAAAACTCCATAGTTTGGCTGCTTCTAAATTTCCAGTGGTTCTTTTAGATAAATGTCTAGATAAATTGTTTCTAGTAGACCTATTGCTGTTAAATGTACACTAGTTTGGCTTTTGCATTACTGTCTGCCCCTTTCTAGAGTGCTGCAGTGGCAGACAGAAGCAAAATCTGTCAAGGTATTGGATGGGGCTAAAAAGGTTAGTATGGAGGCAAAGACAAGGTTAAAGACAAAGACAAATTGCCTTTGCTGATTTGCCTCACTTCTCCCTAGATCATTTTTGTGACTGAGCACTTGCAGTTTGACTTCTGTTAAAACTGTGTTGCCTGAGCGCAAGAAAAGGAGCAAACTCTGGAGCTGCTCCAACACTCAACAAGCTTGAAAAATAATGTACCTCCAAAATCTGTAGAAAAAGTGGCCAAAACCCTCTCATCAGACGTCCAGGAAAAGTCAACAGGCAAAATGCATTCACATTCCTCTTTTCCTGGCCCTTTCTAGATACTATTTTTCCAGTGAAGGAGATGACTTGGCTATTTGTGAACTGCAATGACTCTCAATGATCATTAGATTTACAAAGGGTGGAGAGCTGTCAGGACAACATTTGTTCATTTATTAAGCGTTCCCATGCAAAATGTAAAGCTCAGTGTGGGACTCACTTCTCCTCCTGCCCCAGGTAAGCTGATGCAGTTTGCCTGGGGGACACTGCTGTCAAGATGACCTGTCAGTCAGACACATTTGTTATGTGACTGAAAAACAGTCCTCAACCCTGGGGATGAACAGATCTTCCAAAGCTTTTCTGAATATGTGAGGATTTACAGTCATCTTGACAACTATCCTTTTCTAAGTCCTTTTTCTGTCTGTTTTTGCTTTCAAATAATTATTGAAGTATTATCGAAATGGAGACTGTAAGAATAAATTGAAGGTGTGTCCTCTTCCCTGTATGAAAACAGAAACCTTTCCCAGGTGAGCTGAGATCAAGGAGGTTCTCACAAGACTCACGTGTGCAGGTTTTTAGGTCCTCATTGATGACAAATCCTTCAGAGCACTGACAGACATAGGAGGCATCAGTATTTAGGCACAGTTGCTCGCAGCCATGATTGCTTTCAGCACAGTGATCCACTCCTGTTGATTTGTGTTAATAATTGAAGAAATCACATTGGAGCTTTAGATACATACACTATGACATTGTAGTTAGTACACGATGCCTTTGCAGAGCAAGGGAAAAAGATCAGTACAGCTTTTTATTTATGCAGTATCCCCATCTATTTGAGTGACCTGAGTTTAATTAACAACACCTACGTGAAATGAATACAACAGCCCCACTTGGCAGATAACAAACTTGATGAAGTGCAGATCTCCCTTGCCAAAAACCACAAAGGGAAACTAACGCGAAGTAGAGTGAAGGGAGAACCTTGAAGTCCCGCCTAGTCTTACCCACAGAATCATGCTTCCTTTCTTCAAAAAGCAAGACTCTATCTTTTATTCACCATAATTTTCTCAGAGAGAAAGTATGAATATTAGTAACTTTTGAAAGAGAAATTATGGTTTTCAGATTATTTCATAAACAGTAAATTCTTTTTCAACAGGATGAGAAATCACCAATTTAAAACTTTAACCTGCCAACAGGTTCAAGCAGTTAAAGCCTAGTGGAGGACAGATAAATTATGAGTGCGAGAGTGTCTTAATATGTTCCTTTTCTTTGATTTTTCTGATTCTAAGTAAGATAAAATGGAATAGTTTTTTTAGTCTTAGTCTTTTAGCAACTGGTTGTGTGAAAGATGAAGGGTGGGGGAAGGGAGAGAGGTGCGAATTGGATTTTAAAATTATATTGTCTGATAGAATGGACAGCAAAGCAGTAGGGTGAGATACGTGCACTTGCAGATGTACTATGTAATCTGCTGACTCTGTAAGTATAGAAAAAGCACATTTCAGGAAAAAAGCTTTATACTGAACTTCCTTATAATATTTTATTGCCGACTTGTTAATGGCTATTTTTAGTTATATAGGCCCAAATCACTTTAGCTTAACTTGATCAAAAGCAGTGGAGTTCCCTCAGACACAAACACAATGTCATATGTCTCTATTTACAAATCATTTACAGATGCGAACAGGCATGTCTGCAGCTATTTGTTTACATTAAAAAAATTCTGTACTTAATGTAAAATTACTTAGTTCTAAATATTGCTGTTTATTAGTTTATTTAACTAAGCAACAAGTTTGCAGTAATTGGTCCAGGTTTACCATTATACATAGATAGAGATAACGTTGGCTTGAACAAATGAAGCTGAGGTGTCAGTTTTTACTAGCTAAAGCAAGTTCCAGCTGGAACCTTCTCCTTTTTCCAACAGTTTACATCATCATGAAGAGGCTTGTGTAACTTCTCAGAGCACACAAAAAATGTGGAAAAAAAAAAAAAAGAAAATAAATCCCCCAGTATTCTCTGTGAAAAATTGCATCTGTTTGGCACTGTCTTTTACAATACAAACACCCACACTAATGTGAATTTTAACATTTAAATACTTCGGGTTCTCATGCAGAATCTTTTTTTTCTTTCAAAGAGTGGAGTAATCACAAAGCTGCTAATTACCAGACTTTAGAAATTAGTACAACTGTAAATTTGGTCATCATGTGTGCTTCATTACATGTGTAAAAAAAAAAGTAAGAAGAGGAAGAGACAGGGGCAGGCTCAGTATTTTTAAAAACAATGAGTGTCTTGGGATATATTAATTTTTAGATATTCAACTTACGATAGCCTAAAACCATAATTGTTAAAAAGTTCTGAGCTCTTGCAAAACATCTAAGTTTCCTTAAATATGGCTTTATCACAAACAGTTTATTTAAAAATACTCCCTGGCCTATCAACTTTTTTTTTAATTTCAGTTCCTGTGTGTTCCTTTGGAAAAATATGTCATAAGTACATGAGGGAAAAATGCTGCCAATATTTTAGATGATGTGCAAAATGGTTCTCTGCTATAAAAGTATCTTCTAAAAACTGGAAACTGGATGACATCAAGTGGGCAATGTTGTTGGGTTTTTCTGGTGCAACACTGGTTCTTTGTTTAGTAACATTCTTATTAAAAGAGGACATTTTATTGAACAGATCACGGAAAGTGTAAATATATAGAAGGGGGAAGTCTCTACTTATCTCCGCCTATCAGCATACATCAGTATCAGCTGTGCTGCAGTGTACATAACCCACAGCAATGATACAGATGTTCAACAGTAAGCACTGCCTTTGTGTTAGACACCTTGGCTGAACACATTTTCCCAGTTATTTGGATTGGAGAAGATGATGCTTTAGTTCTCTATCCGATCAGGGATCTCACTATAGCATTACTTCACTAGGCCTGGCTCGTGGTGGACTTTAGAGTAACATAGGTTTGCATAGCTCAGAAAGATCTCAAAAGGGAACCAGGGGTGTTTTCTCACTCTGTTCACACCTCGCCCCACTGCAGTAACTAGTCGCTGCAGTTCATGAGACACACTCATTCCTGCACGTATTGCCATCGTGTCGTTGGGCGTATCCAGGATGACATTTGCACGCAAATGACTCTTCCAAGTTAACACGTTCATGTTCACAGTCATGTTGACCTAAAGCACAGAAGTTTACTTCTGTGGAGAGAAAAACAGTGAAGAATTCAAGCCAGCCATGAAGGTTTCTGAAGTAAATTGGCTTAGAAAAACTCACTTTTCTTAAACGATACTGGATTCTGTGCTTTGGACACCTGTTAAACCTGATAGTGAGCTGAGGATCTGAGAGCGAATTGCAAATACTTGGCTACACAAGACTTCACTTTGACTCCCATAGACCTGCTCCTGTAGTCATCAGAAGTCATGCATCGTGGTGAAGGAGGAACGCCTGCTGCTAGTCACCAGTGATGCATTCTCCCTGATTTATAAAGACAGCATATATGCAAATGTTCTGCTTTATTTTACAAGCTTATCTAACATGAGCCTTGTTATAACAAGATTTGGAATAGGAGCTTAATCCTGGGAACGTCACCAGGTTTACAGCCAAATCCAAAGCCCCCTAAGGTTAAGGAAAAATACCCGAAATGGGAATTACAATTTGCCTTTAATTCACAATTACATCCTTGGCAATAAATATTCTACACAATGCTGTTCTTGTGCTCCTATACTCACCAAGGCACATCCAATCTATAAAAACCTGAATGTATTAAAATACCGTATAGATAATAAAAATTAGAATAGCATGGATTGCTGCAAAAATGGCAGAATAGCACAGATTGCTGCAAAAACAGCACTATGCAGACAAAGATGCTTCATGAGAATGCATCTTTAAGACTGAAAGAAAATACAGTTCCAAAACCAGATAAACTTTATGAGCATCTAGAAACATAATTATGTTGCTCCAGACAAGCTTCTTATTCATAAAATATCAGCAGTACAATTCTCCCCACCAAGAACTGAGTCACCAGATCAGGCTAGTTAATTTTGCTGAATACATTCTCCTTAAACTTTAACACTACATTGAAAATCTGCTGTGATTCCAGGCCCCCACTCAAAAAGAGCTGTAACACGCAAGTCTTTTTAAAGTAAATAGTATGTGGGATTGGTTTAGAATCCTGACATTGCTGAGGCTGTTTTTACAATTTTTTAGGAAACTATGGGGTTTTGTGTGTGACTTCAAGTTGATTTTAATAGCTTCGTTACCTATCCAATACTTTCCCAAGCTAATGAAATACATCTGTCCTTGGCTAAACCAACTGGGCAAAGCAAGGTGATTTTTTTTTTTTTTTTAAAGCTGTTTGTGTCACTACAAGACAAGGTCAGAAAGTTTCAAATAAGTAATCAACTTATTGTTTTTGAGCCACTCTGGTTCCTATATTACTCCTCAGGTTTCCATAAATCTCTTCACAAAACATCTAATATACAATCTAGTCTACAAAACAGCAAACAGTATATTTTCCAGCATGACTGGCTCAGTTAAAAATTAAGTTTATAAAGAAACATTTGTTTCAACCTTAATTATAGAGAAAACTTTCATCCTTTCAGGAGGGAAACCATTCACAGCAGGTTTAAGAAATAGAAGCAGATGAACTTTATTGTGTCCAAAGGATTACTCACTTTTGCATGTTTTCTTATCTGGATTAAGTCTAAATCCTTCTTGGCATCGACAAAAATAGGAATCATCTGTATTAACACATTCCTGTTCACAGCCATGGTCCTGAAGAGCACAATAGTCTGGTCCTAAAAGGGAAAAAATTGTGTCAGTGAGGAATATAATTCCTCAGAAATAAGCTAGGTAAAACCCAGTTACTTTGTTTTCTTTAGCCTTTTTTTTTTTCTAGGCACCATTCTGTCTTTTTACCATATTGTTTCAAACTATGAAAATAAAATGTTCCTTTTTTCCAAATATCTGCTATACTTGGGTATACCTGATATGTATACTTAAATGAATTCTTCGAAACACATGTACTACATGCAGTAGAGCAGTTAGAATTTTAAATATTTCTTAATATTTTGCAGCTAAGTCCTATACATTGCCTCATCAAAACTGCCTCTTTATTTTACTCAGAGCAAGTTAGATATGATCTGTAATAAATACACAAATGTGTATTTACAACGTATTTGAATGCCATTCATCGTATCAAAGCAGGACAATCAGGTCATCAGGAGCATTGGTGTTTTAACAGCTCTGGTGTTTGCTACATAGTTCTTCCATCTAAAATGCTTATGAAAGGAAAGACGAGCAAAGCCTAGAAACAGCCACTACTTGTGTATAAAGTACCTTAACAAGGAAAGTAATTGTGCAGTAAGCACTGGGATATTTACCACATAGTGTTTACCACTACTGATGAAGTCAAAGAACCTGACATTCACTTAGATGCAGTGTCTGGCCATCACTTAGTTTTGTATCAGTGGAGTTAATTAATTTATACTCGAGAAAGAATGGTCTTAGCCCCTCAGCACTGCTAAAAATAGATAAACAAGTCATAAATCAAGTAAGCAACATTTTTAAAGACATCCAGGCACTTTTGAACACCTCATTACACAACCTGAAAACCGACATTCAGAAGTTAATTATTATTCCCAGAGGTAATTGGCTTCCTGAGGCAAGAACTGTTCTTTCCTTGTATGTGTGGCGGGCTAATGCTATTGAGCCTTTATATATGATGAAAGCCCTTAGCAATAATAAACCACCTATATTTTCAGGACAAACAAAGTAGAATGTGACTTTCTAAGAAAACCCAAGAGGAGTATTTTATCATTTATGAACTCCACTTCATATATTTATAGAACACTTCCTTTACCAAAGCTTTTTATGACAGCATATGCACACACACATGTACGTAACACAGGGACATCTTATCTGTTTACTAAAAAAAATAATTAGAAAATATGGTTTGTTCAAGAGTGCACTGAAGAGACAGAAACCATAAAGCCACATGTGTGCACCAGAGGAATACAGCTGTATGCCTTCTAGACCAACTCAGTGCTGTGTTGCATTTACCTGCTCAAATCCTTGCTAACTCAAGTGTGCAGGACAGACTTTTCCTAGGTAACCGATTCTAAAGATGACCAGAAGAATTGAGAAATATGTATTATTATCTTTGTTGGAACCTTGAGGCTATTATGTTGGGAACACTAAAAACACATTTCACAGGGCTTCATTAACACAGTCCAGATTAAGGATGCTAACAGGAGGCCTCTACCAGCTACAGCTCATGTGAACCCACCCACAACTCAAACAGAGGCCTTCCTTAAAGAACAACACTTGAGGCTCAGCACCCCTAAGTACAAGCAGAAGCCACCATCTGTCCTCTTGAGGGGAGCAGCAAGAGTGGCAAAAATCCCCTTAATAGTTAACTTAGTAGCTAGGAATGACCTCTACCTGCCTCACTGATAATCTGAATTTGCTGCCCTCTTCCAGCCACACATAGAGTACTCTGCTGGTGCTGGCAGGGTTGCCCTCATGAGCTGTGTTCCTTGTATTTCTTTCTAAGAAGTTTGGAATAATTCCCAGAAAAAACATTTTTCAGATATGCATGACTGTACTGATAACATTCACGTTTTCAAGCTTTTCTTTGTAGCCATGAGCATAAAAGCTTACTTTCTATTTTTGAAAGGGAAGCCAGGATTCTGAGATAATCACGAGATCTCAGGAGCTGGCACCCCCGGCCCAGGACTGCTTGCTGATGCAGAGATCTGGCCTGGCATGGGTGTGAGTCTTGGCTAGTTGGCGATCATCCCCGAGATTGAGTACATAAGCCAAATATGTAGAAATTTATGTTAAAGGTTTTAAATTTACAAACATTTTAAATCCAGTGATCTGAAGTTTGTTTCTTCATGTTGTTTATGCTGACTCAAAGGCAGTGTGATTCATAACATATGGGAGCTAGGGGACACTTTTGCTCTGTAGAGCTCTCATGCTGTCTTGACTTTTACAGCATTAAGAGCTACACAGTTCTTTCACTCATGCTTTATTTTATTAGCAAGGCTCAGAAGATACCAAGTGTAAGGAAAAGTGGCTTAGTAAGTTTTATTTATGCCTAGATTCAGGACATAGTATTTGCTCATTCTTCCCTGACTACCGCACCTGAATCAATCTCTATGGCCTACCAGGTCCAGTCACTTTGATTTTTCCCTAATTGCAACCTGACGGAACTTTCTCCCTTAATTTTAAACTAATTTAAAGCATTTACAACAAAACAGAATGCAGTTCACATGGCAGAGATGCACAGAGGTGTGAGAAGCCTTGTCTGTGGCCTCTGCCCCTTAGCGTGGGAGCTGCATGTAATGTCACCCTTGGTTCTTGCCTGAGCTATGTTATAGGTACGCCTGTGCCTAGCCTTGCATTTTGCTGATCCTGACCTGCTGACTGGCCGACTTGACTTCCTGAATTGATCTTAGACCTCTCTTGACACTACGGACTCGTCTGGTGATCACTGGACTGTTGGCTGAGCCTGGTTACTGTCATAGGACCTGTTTTGTTCTTCTTCTTTGGGTACTGTGGGACCAAAGGCCTTGTCAGAGAAATTACTGACCCTGCTTGCCTTGTAGCCATCCTTGGCGCCCAGCTTGCACTCCCCTGCAGAGCAGTGTACTTTTGTGTGATATGTTAAAGATCTCCTCCATTCCACAGAGATCCAACACGAAACCATAGATGTGCCTGCTGAGACTTTCTGGTCAAGATCAGAGGGGAAATGACACTGGGAATGTGGTGGTGGAGTGTTTCCAACATAAAGACAGCAGCACATGGTCAGACTGACAGTCTATACAGCTCAACGTGCTGTCTCAGGCAATAGATACCTAAGTCAGAGGATAGAGACAGCACAAGCCTGAAGCACTACTTTCTCAGAACACCCTCTCAGCTTCCAGCATTCTGTAGATCATCAATTTAAAGAGGTTAAAATAATTCATACTGTTAGACCATAAGCTAAAACCCACTCAAGACATATAAAATGTTTATGCAGTTTTAAGGTCTTTGTTCAGTTCAAACTGGGGGAGAAAATACTGCTTAAAATCCACATTCTTAAATTGAAGGAATTAATAAAAATTTGTGCTTGGGCAGTGGAAAGCACTTACACCATAGTAAGATTTCAAAAATATATGGATGTGGAAGCATATGTGGAAGTATAAGAGAATTTAGCCAGCCCTTAGCTGACAGATACATCACAAATGGGTGAGTTCATACAATCTACAAGCAATGTGAACCAGTACAAACTGTAGTCTGGCCCTTGGGGAGTCCGGAAGTTCATCTCCCCTGACTCTGACAATCTAAAAATTAGGTGTCTGGTCTGGCAAGTCATCCAGGCTCCCTGCACAGTCAAGAAAAATACAGGCACTTCCATAAATTTGTGTGAGAGCTTTGAGCAATTGCCTTCTAGAAGTGTGTGTATCTTTCCCTTGATCATAAGGTCAGATGTACAGCCTGGATTAGATGCTTTCTTTCGAAATGTTAAAGTTAAGTGAAATAGATATCAGGTATAATACACAATAGGTTAACATAGTCTTTCATCATAGAGACTGAAATACCCCCAAGGCTGTAAAAAGCACAGAAATGCAGTGCTATATTGATGCATTTTTTGAGAAATAATGTTTGAACACATTATTCAATAATACGGGCTAAATTCACCACTGGCATTAGCAGTTCCACTCACCTAAAACTAATGGAGTTTGTCTGCTTACAGACACAATAGTAACATTTCTTTATCAAGGCCCATATTTATGAAGAAAGGTAACTAGGAAGGTACATGAAGGTTCTCCCGTCACATTTCCTGAAAGTGAGTTATGACATTAAACACTGTGGAGGTTTTAGCTTGTTTTCCCAATTACGGGAAGCCTTCACAAGAGTACTTTCTGGTCTGTCAGTTCTCCTCCGCTTTATATCCACTCCTAACTCTGGTAATTTTTGAGCTTGTTAGCCTGTTATCAATCAAATTTGACAAACAACAAACAAGTAAAGCTATGAAGTTATTATAACCTGGTGGAAACATGGAAGCTTGGTAGAAGATACTGGTGTTGCCAGAGCTTTGGCACTCTATCAAAGAACTCACCCTTGAGACAAATCTGTAGGAAAATAGGCTGCAATGTTTCCTCTGATTGTGGAACTATTCTATTTAATTTTAGCTTGTCCTACAAACCAAGCTGATTATAAATTGTCTTGTACAGAGTTGTTTACCCAGATAGGGAGATGATATTTTAACTGAAAAATCTGGATAATCGAAGAGACTATGCAAGACAAAGCTTTGGGCTTTTACTGTTGAAAAGGAGCCTGGTTTCATGTTAAAAGCTTCCTGTTCAGAGGAAGGCCCCCTATCCTTAGCCCCTCCCCCAAAAAGCCAAACTACCCCCCAAAACAACTTGCATTGCTTTCAAGACCTTTGGCTTCCAGGGCACGCCAACATTTTCTATACCTGACGCGTTATTCGGTGTTCCCAGAACCAGTGGGAATATTACTGCGGAGAACTGGAAGATAGAAGAAGTACAAACTGTTCATAATTAAACCTTATCACAACTTACTTCTGCAAGTTCTTTTGTCTGGATTTAAAATGAACCCTAGGCGGCATCTACAGTAATAGGAGTCCTCAGTGTTAACACATTCATGTTGGCAACCTTGGTTATCCAAAGCACAGTAGTCTACAACTGAAAAAGAACAAGACCAACATGTGCAATTAGAAAAACAAAATTAGAACTATTATGCATAGATATTATGGTACCAGTTACACACAGTAGCTATAAAGAAAGGAAAAGCTGACATAATTTCTGTCCTGAAGAGCCTTTCTGCAAAAAGCAGTGCACTTTCAATACCAGTTGGTAAATCAGATTTTATATGAGTCCTGGATCATTTCTCCTACCCTTTGAATATTTATCAACTCTCGGATTGTCGGGAGCCTTCTCAACATGTTTTCTCATATCTGGAAACCATGCCTCAGTCAGTAACTCTGTCCAGATGTTCACACTGTAGACCAGGGCATAGCAAAGTTAATTTGATTTAGTTGTGTCTTCTGTCTCTCCAGTCCCAGTCCTGGAATTGCTCTACTTTTAGTAGTTCCCTCCCAGCTGTATTAATTCTCAAGAGCTTTCCTGTAGCCTGAGTATATAGAAGACCCACGGCAATACCTTCTATGCTGAGGACTGTCACAGTACATTCATTCTCTCTAACGTGCTCCAGATTCATCCTGTGCAAAGCAGCTGCAGCTATGAAGCCTGAGAGCTTCAGGCTGATACTCACCACTGATATTTTGCTTATATAATGCCTTTTGTATGAGTGAAATAAAATATCATAGCTAGTCCAGTCACTTATTTCATAAGTCTGGTCATTTATTACACAAACCCATATTTACAAGACAGATGGCCAAAGGGTAATAAGGTAATACTTTAGAGTTTACTTAGTCAAGGCTATTCAAAAGTGCTAAAGAAGTTAAATGATTTTTTTTTATTTATTTCTTTGCAGGTTAAGCTGTTTCTTCACAAAGAAAGTCTTAGAAGAAATTAAAGATAAGTCACAAAACAGGTGTTCTGTCCCCGAAGAGCTGCCAGGCCCACATTAGGCAAGTTTACCTGATTCTTTCTGCAGAAGACAGTAATGTGCTCAGCTTCACACAGACATTTAACGAGACAGGTTCCCCTTCTTTGCCAACTGAGTAATTTTTTCATTACTTTATACAGCTGAGCTTCCCAAATTACTTTAAGAGGCAGCAATTTGTTCTAATGAAATCAGTTCCTTCTTCAATAGCCCTGACTTTGCAAATCATGTGTATACGCAGGTGTGCTAAGATATTTAGTCAAGGTCATCCAGTCAGGAAAGCGGATAATCCATTTAGGTACTTTGAAAGAGCTTCTTTTAACCCTTCAGAATATTTGTGTTGAATCAAGTCAAATTAGACTACTTACTGGCTACTATGTGAGTCCATTTTCCTGGCAAGCACCTTCCTGTTTCCAGACTGAATAGCTTCATATAAAAACATGTTTACCGAATATATATTTCAAGGATATAATGTGTCATACAATTAGTCAGCTTTCTCTTAAATTAATTCTAACCACATGTACATTTTCAAGTGTTTTAAAAGACACATTAAGAAATAAATAGGCCAAAGAATATATTATTTTTTTCTATCTAGCATCATACTTGGGAAACAGCCCATATGGATCGCTCCATAAAGTCACCTCCTCCTCTGGATTTAAACCCCACAAAATGCATTTCTACCACAATACCTGCAACTGCCCGACTAATGATTATAAAGATGAGAATAGAATAGAATAGAATAGAATAGTTCCAGTTGTAAGGGATCTACAATGACCATCTAGTCCAACTGCCTGACCACTTCAGGGCTGACCAAAAGTTAAAGCATGTTGTTAAGGGCATTGTCCAAATGCCTCTTAAACACTGACAGGCTTGGGGCATCGACCACCTGTCTAGGAAGCCTGTTCCAGTGTTTGACCACCCTCTCGGTAAAGAAATGCTTCCTAATGTCCAGTCTAAACCTCACCTGGCGCAGCTTTGAACCGTTCCCACGCGTCCTGTCACTGGCTACCAGGGAGAAGAGATCAGCACCTCCCTCTCCACTTCCCCTCCTCAGGAAGTTGTAGAGAGCAACGAGTTCGCCCCTCAGCCTCCTTTTCTCCAAACTAGACAAACCCAGAGTCCGTAGCCGCCCCTCATAGGACATTCCTTCCAGCCCTTTCACCAGCTTTGTTGTTTGAGAGACAACTACAGAGGTCTTAGAATGCTTTATTATCAACATCTGAGCAACTATGACCCTAAGCACTTTCAGAGGACAATCTCTTGAGGGAAGAACTGTGTCTTCTTATGGCTATGCAGCTGCTAATGCACTGTGGACAAAAAGGAAAAAAACCCAATGAAATAAATAACTAATTTTTCCAGGCTTGCTTTTTTCCATTTATAGCCTTCTGGGGACCTCTTACTCACAGAATTAGGTCTGTTGGCCTGTAAGAGTGATAAACATAACAATTTAAATAATGTCTTTCCACTTACACAGTTAAGAAGTGAGAACATTTTCTTGACAGTTGCTTTTGGAGATAACTATTATTCCCTTTTTTCAATAATTTTTGTACACAAATTGCCCCATTTCCAGGCAGGCTTAGCCTTGCAGACTGGCACTAGTAATTGACCTACAAATTCATTTAACTTTTAGCTTCATGTTTCATTTTGGTTGTACTTGCTTAGAAGGGAAACTTGTTAACAGCATTCCAGTCAGCAAGTAGGTAAGTTGTCCATGGAGTTAAATCTTCCTGAAAAGACTGAGAAAAAATATAAATCTGTATTTCTCATATTGAAGTAGTGTAATCCTTTAGTTGGTATGCAGAAAATATACACAGTTTGTATAAGAGCAAAGCAGAATAATATTTTCCTAATTTTTTAAAGGTTTATTATTTTCATGTTTCTGCACTGAGTCATGAAATATACACTAGAATGTGAACACTTAGAGATCTCACTGTTTTTAATGTTAGCCCATGCCTATTTCAATAAGAAACTTTTCTAAAGGTTGAATTAATGATCTTTTTAGTGAGCAAGCAATTCATTCATTTGTCATCTCCCCATGTTTGTTCCACCCCGTTTTTCTTGCTTGGAATCAGTTGGTAAGTGATGAGAGCCATCTTTTACTTCTGGTTACCAGTTCTGCATTCTGGGTGCTTCCATTGCCCTCTCTGAACTGTGGAACAGCATAGGTCACCTTTCTCTTGTATTGTTGTTTCACTCCTATGATGTTTATATAGGTTATTCAGGCTTAGGAGAACGCAGTAAGCTAAGGAGAAGGGTAGAAGAAAAGGGGAGGAAGAAAAGGTTACAGAGTAAGTAAAGGCATAAGGAGGATGAAAAAGAATATGGGGGAAGAGTAGAGCAGACTCATGGAAAACTTGAAAAAACCTAGAAAGCAGCCAAAAAAACCTAGCAGTGCCAGGACTACAGAGAGGTGCCAGCAGCCAAAACACTGCCAGAAGAGGTCCCAAGCCCAACTGCTGCAGCAATACAGAGACAGTCTAGCACCAGTGCCAGGAAAGAGAGGACAGCATGTCCAGCAACACCAAGAAGGTGGAGAGACTTTAGTGTCCAGCAGCATGATGGAGAAAGAATGGCAGGATTTTGTTCATGTGAAAGGAGGGCAGTTAACATGAAAAACTGTTTAAAAAGGCAAAGTGATAGTGCTCTGCCAGCCATACTTATCACTGAGCAGTTAGTTTCAAATATTGTTTAGTCTACAAATTTAGAATCATAGAATCACAGAATAGTTTGGGTTGGAAGGGACCTTTAAAGGTCATCTAGTCCAACCCCCCTGCCATGGGCAGGGACATCTTCAACTAGATCAGGTTGCTCAGAGCCCCATCCAACCTGACCTGGAATGTTTCCAGGGATGGGGCATCTACCACCTCTCTGGGCAACCTGTTCCAGTGTTTCACCACCCTCGTTGTAAAAAATGTCTTCCTTATATCTAGTCTAAATCTACCCTCTTTTAGTTTAAAACCATTACCCCTTGTCCTGTCACTACAGGCCCTGCTAAAAAGTTTGCCATCTTTCTTATAAGCCCCCTTTAAGTACTGATAGGCCACAATAAGGTCTCCCCGCAGCCTTCTCTTCTCCAGGCTGAATAACCCGGGCTCTCTCAGCCTTTCTTCACAGGAGAGGCGTTCCATCCCTCTGATCATTTTTGTGGCCCTCCTCTGGACATGCTCCAACAGGTCCACGTCTTGTACTGGATGGAGGACTCCAGAGCTGGATGCAATACTCCAGGTGGGGTCTCACCAGAGCAGAGTAGAGGGGCAGAATCTGTTCGTAAACTGTGTGTTGCAAACACTCAGAGTGGTTGGCCATTCAGTGGTCACTTTGAATGGATATGTTGTGAGCTGCTGGTTGTGAGATTTTATTTAATTATTGCCATTCAGGTAACTGGCTGACACATGTGTCAGTAAAGCAATTAGTACTGCCTTTGATCCTTAACCAGAGAAATTAGCCCATCAGAAAGGACGAAAAGAACTTAATAAACCTTCCTGTGAAATGAGTTTTCTGCACTTTCTCATTTACTTTTGCTGGAGTTACAATTTTAGAAGTCTTAGATATCTTAGAAAGAAACTTTTGGCTCTTTGAGAGAACCACGATGTGTATGCCCTACTGATATTCTCTCTCCATTCTCTGGATGAAGAGGAGAGAGTAACCTTAGTGAAGTCACTGCTTTTTGCAAAATTGTCGTTGTACTCAGTGGTCTCTGGCATATGTGTACATCAAGATCTTTCTTCTGATCCTACTCATTTGATAATAAATATTTCACAGAAAGGAACGGTTAAGTAGCTTAAAAGTAATGAAAACCGAGAGTTATCACTACTGGTTCAGTACTATACTTAAGTCTCCTTTACAAGATTTTCCAGCAAGGATGATTATTCATTGGTGATCACATCTGCAGAAGCTGTACATTCTTGGTAGTAGCATATTCCTCAAAAATCTCAAATTGTTCAAATCTGAAAAGTCAAATTCTGGAGACTGACAGCTAATAGGATTTGCAGACAAATTAGCATCAAAACTGCAAATTACCCGGACAATCTTTTCCTGTTCAGGAAATGTAGAGAGGCTAAGTTCTGCATGGGTAAAACATAAATTAATATACATTGAACCATTCACATGCATTAGTAAGAAATGAAAAGGTTAAATGGTTGAATAAATGCAAAAGAAAATTGAAAAATAGAAGTGCTAATAATGTGCTTTAAAATCACAATTAATACTGCTAATTATTGCAGGGGCATGAATTCATGTTTTTTTGCTATGAATAGAAATCAAGTGGAGAGGAAAGACAGCTATAAAATGCAAGATACCATAATGAACCCATGCATGAACTGTATTTTGAAAATAATTGAAAATAATTGAGAATATGAAAGCTTCAAATGTCATCAATAGAGCTTATAATAAGCCTGTATCTGTCCATGCCAAAGAGAGTCAGTGAGGAGGTAGAAAAAAAATGTTAAAGATGTATCACACCTCCAAATAGCACTCTTCAGACTTTGCAGATAAATTATTAACAGGCAAAAAACAAGCACCACTGTAAGAAATTTAATAAATGGCATAGAAATATTTTGAAGCTTTTAATAAGAAAAATAGACTTTGTACTTATTATAGAGGATAATATTAGGTTTGACATACAAAGAATTTCACCAAAATTTATTTTTATCCCTATGATGCTATGGTAGCTACCTTCCTGGTAAGAATATCTTGGGCTCTAAAGGACCCTTCGCCTTAACAGAGAGAAAATAATAACAACAGCTCATGACACTAAGCATGAATATTTCAGATTAGAATATATGGTAGGAAAGAATTGGGGATGAAAGAACCTACCAACAGAAGTCACGGATTTTCTGTCTTAGGATATAGTCAAATCAATAGCAGAGAAATATATGCTTTATCCTAACACAGGTAAAGGTCACGAGTATTAGCTAAAGTTATTGGATCAACTTCTGTAGAGTGTTAGATGTAGAAATTTGGGCCAGAACATCAGACAGGCCTTCTTGCCTTAATAGCCATTATTAGCTGCATTTTCAAAACAATTCAACTTCAGAAAGCAGGTTCTTAAAATGGTAATTTAAGAATTGGTAATCTCAAATTATGCTGAGCATAAATTATGCTGAGAAATTTAAACACTCCTATACTGAAATCATGAAGCTACAAGTAAGGGAAACATTTCTGAAGAGTAAGAGTGAATGTTCTTCAAAACTGCATATGTTATCCTAGGTCTAAAAAACCTCAAAACCTCATTTGTGAGTCCTGTGTGAAACTACATGCAGAAAGTTCAGTTCCGTAAACTGTCATCTATTTTGCATCTCAAAATAGGATTATCCTGCAAGGTAATAGCTCTGTAAAGGTAATAAGAGACAGATTATATTATGTTAGAGTTGTTTAAAATTACAAGAAAGAGTAAACTGTTGGACAAAAGCATTGTGGTGGCCTGTGGCAGATATGGGGCCAAGGATTCACTTGGATTCACTTCCATGGGATTTCAGCATGTGTTTGAAATTAAGCATGCATTTAAGTGCTTGCCTGAAGAGAATACTAACAAATAAGGCAATTTTTTTTCAAGGACTTACTAGGGTTTTTTTGTGGTGGATACCAGAAGACAGTATTTTCCCAAAATGTAGCATGGGATGAAAAGTTTACAAGAAGGCTAATAGGCTAGTGAAAAAGATTATCCTAAAAGTATTTTCTGTGTATAAATGGGGTATATACTTATATGGTAATAGAAAGGAAAGTATGTTTTGTGTTAAAAAATTATTATACTGTATTTCCACACTCACTCTTTTGAGTTGTAATTCTTAGAGTTGATGTTTGCTTCTTTACTGCCCATAGCGAAAATTGAAGGCATAGAGTAGATGGGATCTTAAGGGGGGCTAAACTTTCCTTAAAGTCATCTTCCCAAAAAAAGTTCGAAATCTCTCCTGGCGTGACCATAAAACCAAGTGAGAAATGGCAAGAAATTTTCCATTTTCAAGTTTTTCCATGTATAACTTCTGTCTGAAGAGGAGCTACCAAGTTTGTCTGGCTTTGTTTGGTTTTTAATGTCCACATATATCATGCCAGTACATTGCTGGCCACCTACATGGATCTAGAATAAAACACCTGGTATGTTGTTTCAAAACAGCAATGTTACTTTCTGTGTTAAATTAGTTGGAACAATTTTCCCAAGTCACCATTCATTATCAGCAAAGGCCTACGAACATGCCAATATATATTCTTCCTTATCTACCACTCATATAGGAGAAGAGAGCTTCCCATCATGGCTAAACTGGATATTAATTTACATTGAATTTCCCTTTGGTTTGTGTCAAGATATAAATGTGAATTGCTAAACTCATACTCACCGACACAGTTCTTTCCATTTGCATCAAGCTCATATCCTTCATAACACTGACAGACATAAGACCCAGGTGTGTTCACACAAATCTGCTCACAGGCATGTTTCTCCACCGCACAAAGGTCCTGAGCTACAAAACATAATTGCATGAATATGAAATTCTTTGACATTCTATAATGCACGGGTAGACTATAGATCAAAAATAAATTTCAAGAAGCTCTGAACAGCTCTTTAGAGATGAGCTCATTTTAACACAGATCATGCCAATGTTCTGTCAAACAGTGGAAGTCTTATGCCAGCAGGAACAATCACTCAAAGCTGAGGAGCTCATTCCTTCAGCTGAAGGCAACGACTATTGATGGGCCAATGGTGCCTAGTAAAGTTGCTTGACTGTATGTTTCTCTAAAAAGTTTGAAGGGCATTCTTAAGTTTTTTTGGAAAAAAAAAAAGTGTTTATTATTTGTGTCTTTTTTTTCTTCTTTGCACAACCCTCCCAGATAAATGATGATGAGGTTGGAAAGGGAAAGAAAAGGAAAACACAACACCAAAAGACTTGGGGATATTTAATTTCTGAGTTTTACAATTTTTCAGTTTTGTGCAAAATACCATAGCAAGTTACCGCTCCCAAGAAAAGATCTCATTAGAAAAATTACTATGACAAATGAGGTCAGTTCAGCATCTGGCCGTATGAAGCACATTGGGCTTTCTTTTCAATAGACTAAAGCTTTCTGAGAACCCCAAGTTTCCCCAGTGAAATCTCTGGAAAGCAAAGTACTTTGTGTTGCTCAGGATCAGGCCCAAAGACGGCTGAACACATAATGATCGTTTACAGCTACAAAAAAGGCTTCTGGAACACATTTGAGGAAACTAGCCAAGCAGATAAGAATTTTCTTTTATAGCTGTCTGCTTCATATCAAGCGGCATGATGAACAGCACAAACAGTCGTTTAACTCTCTTGTTCCAGTATAAACACCCACAAATAGATAATTTTCCAGTTTGTTTCAGCTACATTTTCTCTTTTGTACTATTTTGTGTATTAATGTAAGATTGAACATCTCTAGAGAAGAATGGAAGAGATTAAGTTAAACAAACAAATACAGTGTAATGAGTAAAGAATAGCCATTATCTGACACAACCACTCTTCTCTAGAAAAGTTAGACCAGAGTACATGAACGGAGCATCCTTCGCATGGATGCAAAACCATGTTAATGAAATAAATGTAAGAATATTTCAAGATAACAAAAGAACTTTTTTTTTCCCTAGTTTTGTTCTGGAAGATAGCCGAGTTGCCCTTCCTTTCCCCCTGCCCCCCACCCCCCCTTACTCCCC